GACTGAGTTAGCCACGTGTTTACAGGGCTTCCCCCGCCGTTTCGTGCGCTTGCGAAGCGGTGATCCATCCTCGTGGAGGCCAAGGCAAAGGCCAGGCAGAGAGCAGGCTCGCTGGAGCTCGTAGTTCGGCAGCGTTCGACAATGAAGGCGTTTACACGCAGATTAAACAAAACCGGGTTTGCAGGAGAGGTCACACTCTTTTTATTAGAGCAACTTCTATAGCTGGAAGAAACAGGGAAGCTTTTAGACAGACAAGACCACTTCTGGTCTGGAGCAGGAGCAGGAGCGTTCAAGCTAAGCACAAGCTGAGAACAGTTGCTCTGCTTTTACTTCATCATGTTGAACAAAGCACTGCCCAGACCGACTGGCCACCTCCTAGAGCCTGGAGAGTCACCTCGCGCCGGGTCAAGAAGAAACGGTACTTGGCCCGCCTAGGCCAGTCTGTGTTAATGCCACCTATGGCTCCACCAGCTTCAGCAGGCAAACATCAGGACTCTGGGGTGAAACTGTGAAGCCAGCCCTCTGTCCTTCACTCAGCCGCTGGTTTACTGAGTGATCTCCAGGGAGTGGGTCGGCCCGTCAGCTTCGGCGTGGTACATGGGCACGGTAGAACTGGCCTCCTTGCAAAGTCCTTTGGGACCTACAAAGGAGAAGTGTTACGCAGCAGCTATACACGTCTTCATTACTAGCTCTTTTTCATGTGGTTCCTTTAATAGACATTTGGGTTCTGATTTCGATCTTCTGAACAGGGTGTAACACTGCTGGTGCTACCAGCAACCCCCTGCTTGCCAAATGCGACTAGAAGACTCCTGCTGCTGTGATGTAAGCAGTTAAAAAGTTGTTTCTCTAAAGTTCCCAATGTCAGATCTGCTTTTAAATAGGGAAAGGCTGTTTGTGTTCAGGAACTACAGAAGCGTCTTCATCTCCCTGGACATTTACTGCAGTAGCACATCCAGTCTCAGCAGGCACGTGGGGAAACAAATAACCACGTAGACGCTCACAGCTTCTCCAAGAAATGTACAATAAATGTTTTCTTTTTCACGTTTAAGTAAAGCACAGGATAATGAACGCCAAAGCATTTCCCATTGTTCTGTAACGTACGTCGAACGCTCAAATACGTAACCCTGCTTAGGCGCAACAGCAACTGCCTGTACTGTGAGCGTGTGGCAGTGTGCCTGCGTTGGCATTAAATTGTGCCGTATCAAAAAAGTACGACAAATAAACATTCAGGTTGCAAAGCCAAGCAACATTGGATATTCCAGCACGCAGGTTTCCTGGGCATCCTTAATTAGCCCTTTTGAATATGTATGACGATGCCATTTTAATTACATGATATCGTGTCGGGTTTTTTTTTCCTTAGCAGATTTGTGTTTCAGCCAGTCAAGGGGGAGGCAGGTTTTTAACCCTTTTGGTTTTTATCTTCTTCCATTCGGCGCTCTGGCCTCAGCTCCCCTGTTAACGCACGCGGTCCAAGTGTTGCACCGAACACGGAGAACTTTCATCTCCTTCCAAGCTTTTGTTCCTCCGCGGCTCCCATGGCAGCATCTTGATAAGCCCCAAATCCTGATGGCCGTCTCTCTGCAACAGGGGGATTGCTGTCGCCTTCACAGCAGTATCGCCAGCCTGCAAAAGCCCTGAAGCCCGGGGGGAGAAAGGACCACAATGTCAGAATGACAACTTTCAGCGAAAGCTGGGAGAGACGCGGGAGCTTTCGCACGCGGCGCGTTTCCCCAGCGCTTTCTCCGCTCGCGGCCAGTTGGCTTCAGCTCTCAGCGCTTCGGCATTTCAGGCCCCAGGTGTCTCTTGTTGAGCACCCAGAAAATGAGGCCAAGCACTCAAGAAGGAGGAAATTCCAGAATGATGTCATCATGCCTACACGTGGGGAGGGGGAAGGAGCTAATCGTGCCCAGGCAATCCGAATTCTGGCATTTGCTAACGTTTTAGCATTTGGCTCACCACCCTGTCATTCTTTGAGCCGAGTTTCTCTGTGTATGTGCATGCGTTTCTCTGGAAGTAAATAAGGACATCGGAACTGTGGCTGATCCGCTAAAACCTCTTGCGCTGCCTTCTCAGTAAAACTGACTTACTGGTGTGTGCGCCCTTGGAAAAAGGCATTGCCTGTGCTGTAACAGCCTTTACTTATTTTTCCTGCTGCAATGCAATCTAGAGAAATCTAGGGAAACTTGGTTTTGATTGTTCGCAGAAGAGGAAGAAAGGGAAGTAAAGAAGTTCTACCTTAATAGGTGCTGAAATATCAGTACATCCCCCTGCTCCAGCTGTGCCTCGGCCATTCATTCCTACTCTGCTTTAGCAGCAGGAACGGGCTGTAGGCAGGCAAACAATTCGACAACCAAAATCAGGGGGATCAAGGACAAATTTGCTTCACTTCAGTCTCAAAACCTGCTACTGAACCTCGAGTTCTGCATTTGCTACTTCGCCGCTATCCATTACCAAATTACAAGCGGGGCGTTAAAAACCATAGCATGCTGCCTCGAAAATCCCCAGTTATTCAATTAAATATTGGTTTATTTTTTGCTCGCTGCCTGCAAGTTTTCTCAAACCCTTCCCCTTCTGAAACTTCCCTGCGCAAGCTGACAGGTTGGAAACAGGTTAAAAATGGAAGCTGACATCCACGTGTAAACTGCTGGCTCCAAGCGCTGGTGCTCGAGGGGACGAAAACTTGTCACGCAAGACTCCCAAAACTCCTGTGGGAGTTGGCTTCGTTAGGTATCTACCCTAAGCGTGTCTGCGTGCCTGCATCTGCGCACCGCTGCGATCCTGTCCGTGTGTGCAGAGGGAGCTGAGGTCAGCAGAGGGTTCCCTCCCTGCTGCGCCGGTCCCTCCTCTCTCTTCTCACACCTCTCCGCTGTTCCCTGAGACCGGGAGTGCCGCTCGCCTCCGTCCATCCCCATCTCCGCCAGTGCCGTGGGTCGATGGCCGAGGGACCTTCTTTCACCCCTCCTGTGCGTGTAGAGCGGGGGAGCTGTGCTCACCGGCTCTCTGCTGACTGCCTCGGATGTTATCTCTCTTTCAGGCGGTGGACAGAGCGATGTGTTTACCCTGGTGAACCGAGATGCCCTGGCTTGCTCTCTTGAAGCTCTGCTCTCCAGCCCTTCTGTATAGGCTGCCCAGGGAAGCGTAATTGTCAAGGGAGGCATCAAAGGGAGGCACCAGGAATACCCTACCTTTCCCCCACTCGGAGTTTCGTGGTCTGAAAAGTCCCTGATAGAGGGGTGGCCCTCGTTAGTAGCGCTTTTAACTCTGGAAATGCCTCGCCGTCCACGCTGCATTCCTCCTCCCTTCCCAGCCTGGGGAGCACACGGTTATCCCTCCTCCCTGGTGGCTGGGGAGCTGAGCTTTCCCTGCCTCCTTGCTGCAGTCGCTAGCAGTAGAGGGAGCGATGGCAGATCTTAGGCCAAGATTTCCTCGTTTTCCCAAGAGGGAAAAGCGTATCTGTCCGTGCTGAGATGCTTCCTCACAGCATGTGGCTAAGCCGCGCTCTCCAGCCAAGATGTCAGCTAGCAACGTGCCCCCTGTGGGCTTCTGGGGGGGAGAAGCCCTCGGGTGGGCAGCATGGTGGGAGTAGTATGGTGCCCGTTACGTCGCTGAAAACAAAATACAGCTGTGTGTGCAACCTGTCAGCACCAGCATCTCCCCAGGAAGCCAGGGCTGGTTGCAGGAGAAGGCGCCAGCAGCCGAGGGGCTGGAGAACATGACAGGTTGCCCCCTGCCCGCTCCTGGGCCGTGTTAAGGTGGGTTAGGGGGATGTTAGAGCGGGGAGGGTGCCTGGAGAAGTGCCGGATCGCGAGGTGGGGACAGGCGGATGGCTCAGAAGGAAGGAACTGCAGCGGTTTTGCTGGTGGCTGAATGCCCCAGGGCCAGGACAACACTCTCATGCGATGGACTGACCCAGGGCACCAGCGGTACTTGCTGTGCCTTGATGGTACGTCAAGCTCCAGAATGATTCCAGAATAATTCCAAAATAATTCCCCCGTCACCCACGGATTCGCTTATCCTCACTGTTAGGACCAGCTCTGTTTTCAGCCTTTGTAGTTCACTGAATCTGGAAGGCTGAGCATCCCTACCCTCTCCAGAGCGTGCGTGGGTTGGGTGCCGGCCCTGGGAGCTGGAGAAGGAATCACGTCGCTGCAGCTGGGAACAAGGAATGAGGGTTAGGTGGGATTTCAGCCGTTTTGGTGCCTCGCTGTCTTTCCAGCTCTGCTTGTATTCTGTTTTGGTCTGGGCAATCGGAACCCTTGTAACTTCAGACGGACATCAAGGAATGGATGGTTTGCTCTCCTGAATAAAATGAGAGCATGTGAGCGGGGGGGAGAGCGGGGAAGGGAGAGAGGCATTTGCATAGGTCAGGAAAGGTCATTAAAACATCTGGCAGCAGGAACTGACATGTGTCAAACTTTAGTGTTCATTAAATTCGTATTAATGCAAGAATGGTTCTTAAGCTCCAAAGGCCACTTTTGGTTGCCGTGTTCCCCCGGTTGATGGTGATGACTTTTCAGAACTGTACCACGCTTGTTTGCTCGCTAGTGGCATCTGACCTGAGGTCAGATTTCTATTTAACCCCTTCCTGTAGGTCAAAAGACAAATTAATCTGGTGAGAATTGAATTGGAAATGAGGTGTCTGGCTAGCAGGTGTCCCAGCCGTGGAATAGCTGCCAGGCTGAAACATGTTTGCATCTGTTCTGATGCCATCCAAGAAGTCATCTCCGAGGTCAGGGAGACATTCCGCCGACATCCGAGATGGGAAGTTGCCACAGGGAGCGCGAGTGGCAGGTGCCCTGTGTTAGCAGATCGTCTTGCGATCTGGGGGGAAATGGCTGAGAGAGCCACTCCTGAGTATAAATTTAGACATTTCCATTTATTGAGCCCTTTGCTTTACCTGTGTTTGCTACCAGTTTGTAATCGTAAAGAAGATGCACAATTTCCATCCCCCTTAAAGAGGAGAATCTCACAAATCTCTTTTTATTCCCTTTTTTTTTTAGAGGATGAAGATGATGACGAGATGGTGGAGCCAAAAGCACAGGATGACTTGGAGATGGAAAATCAAGACCAGAAGCAGGAAGTGAAAGAAGGTACTTTAAAAAAAATGAAAAGGATTTTGTTACAGCTTTAAGGGACTGAATCCTGCAAGTAGTTATTCTCATAGGTAGCTTCTATTACTGAGAACACTCTGAAATCGAAACAGTCACCAGTTTTATTGATTCAGAACCACAAGTGGCGTAAAAGCAGAAAATTGTAACCCAGCAACCCAGCTGGTAGGTCTGAGAAGCTTGTGAAGGGCACAAGACTTCGGCCGTTCGGAAGAAGCAACATGTCCTCATGCTTTGGGAACAAAGTAGACATTCTTGGACTGGTGCTTACTTGTCCTCTGGCTCAAACAGCCTGCTTACATGAAAGATTTAAACGCAAATGCCAGGCATTCCAGCGGCTCCATAAAGTTGCTTGGTCTTCAGAGGTACTTGGAGCCCATAACTCTCTGCCTGCTTGAGAGGGATGAACTTAAACCTAGTGGCGGTCAGGAATCCTCCAGCAGAAAACCATTTCACTGGAAAACATTGGCTGCCAAAATCAAATTTTTTTTGTAGGAGCTGTGTCATGTGTCACCCCCAGGGAACTTAAGGTCACAACTGAAGCCAGGCATGTCCAATTTCTCTGGGTCGAGAGAAATTTCTGTGGATTGAGACACTCTCCAGGGTTATGAGAGACAAAAATTCAGGTTACTGAATTTCTGGTGCAGACAGGAGGCGCGTGTCGAAGTGGTGCACGTCAGTGCCGGACTTGGTAGGTACGCCGGGTGTCTCTTCTTTGCTGCTCTTGGACCCGTTCTAGCTTTGATAATTAGAAGAGGGATGTGAAATTTGGTCTTCCTCATCTTGGAAATTATTAGAGTCTTGGCTGTTCCGGTGTGTCGCTTTGAACAGTCAGTGCTCACCCCAGTGTGGGGTGGGGGAAAAGAGCTGAAATACCAGCAGCTCCAGTGGGAGAGGGAATGAGTTTCTTTTCCAGCACTCCTTAGCTCCGTATTTCCAGGACTGTTCACAACAAGGTAACTGACTTCCTCAGGTAAGGGCTGAGTCACTTTGTGCTCTGGTGGTCATTATCAGGATGATTCCGCGACCTTGGCTTTGTTTTTCACGAGATCTCTTCACTATGGGAAAAATACAGCGTCATTTTACAGAGAGGCCCATGAAATCGTTACCTGTGAATACAGCAGCGGATGCTCCTTTCTCATCCAGGGGAGCCTGGCGTGATTTACATCAGTGTCCGAAAAACCTGGGTCTGGTGTGTATTGCCCACATTTGCTGCCCTCGCACGCTGAAGGGAGCTGCAGTTCCAGCCGTGCTGTTTTGGTTAGAAATTGATCTTTCTTCCCTCTTGAGAGCATCACCGAAATCCCCCGTGCCGTAAATCCTGCAGTGTCCGTTGCTCGTTAGGTCCTTGTAGAAACACGGGGGAGGGAACTCGCTCCTCCCGCTCCTCGTCCTTCTGCTTCTCCCGCTGCCCCCAGGCGCCGCTGCCAGGGGCGGAGGGGAGCAGCGGTGACAGCAGGAACAGGAGTCACACAAGAGGCTGCAAAGGCAGACGTGAAGACATGAGCAAGACACGTGGCCGCACGGAAAAACTTACTTTTTCCTGAAAATTACCCTTCCTCCCAAAACGGTGGGGTGAGCTCACGTATGGGCTCTAGCAGTCACTGGACCCACCGCGGCACCTCTTTTACTGGTGACAAGAGCAAGCCATAAAAACCAGTATCGCCGCGCCCAGTGCAAAAGCACCGTCCTGAGTCACTGAACGTCCCTCTAGCATTCGGCTTACAGCTGATCCCACACCTACCCCCCGTTTATTTCTGCCTGAAAGTAGCGCTAGTGCTTCTGCCTGGAGAGAAAGCACCAAGTCCTGCAGGAAGAGAAGAAGAAAAACATCTAAATACATTCCTGAACTGATTTATTTCACTTTTTCTGGGCTTTCAGGTTAGCCCCTTATGTACTTGGCTGCCCAAGCACCCCTGCCAACACCTTTTATTTCTCTGTGGTGTTTCAGTCTCGGGGCAGCGCTCCCCTTCCCTGCCCCGCAGACCCCCCAGGAGGGGTAAATCAGCTGGGCTAGCTTAGCCCAGACACACCAACTGCAGGCTGCAAGAGCGAGGCACGGCTTGTTTTAGCAGAACCGGCTTTGTGAGGTGCTACAACCCTTGACTGGGTTCAGGGAAGGAGAAAACGCGCTCCTCGCCTGATCGCAAGTGGACTTGACCCGCAGGACGTGTCGTGACGGGCAAAACAGCGGCGTGCTGACGGCCGGCGTTCCACGCTGTGAAGCAAGGGAAGCAGTCAGTCACCCCCCAGCTCCCAGGGAGCCGAGTCCCGTTTCTGAGCGTTTGGTGTCCTTCTCTCCCCGGTGGCTTTAGCCCTTTCGCCAACAAAATCCCATTTTCCTCTATGTTGTAATCACCCTTCTCATGTTCTGAGCAACGTTCGGAGTTTGAAGCCATCGTTTGTGTTTCATGGAAGTGATTAAAGCCATGTTACAAGTCAAACAGGGGTTTAGAAGAACATTTCCTGTCGGGGCTGCGCTCGGTGTGCCTACTCAGAATTAATAGCTTTTCTGCAAATTAGCACATAATGGGTTAAAAACATGTTTATGTTGGCATTAAGTACTCTGGCTTCTTTTTCTCTGCAAGGCAAGACAATATTTTGCAAACTTTTAAAAGAATCTCTAATAGATATTATAGTGGCGCCATTCACACTGCTATATAGTAGTTAAGGCTGTGTCAGCACTTCCATTATGAATCCTGTTTTTCAGGGATTTATAACCCAGCCGTAAAAATTTGCTCTGGGCTGAAATTTGGTTTCAGCTCAGGGAGCACATTTTTTAACAGATTAAAAAAAAAAAAAAAAAATCAGCATGGCCTTTTTTGAGTTATAGGAGTGTAAGAAAAAAAAAAAACCATGGGGGAGAGAAGGGCGGGGAGAGAAAGGCAGACGATTTTTTTTCATGAATATAATTCAAAAATAGGTCAGGATGACAGATAAAGCTTGGATCCAGTTGGTTCAGTCTCCCTCTCCCCAAGCCAACAGGACAGGAGTGCTCTATTTTTATAATGGTATTTTAAGAGGAAATGTGATTGATTATTTTTTTTTTCCCCTCTGTGGTTTATAGGTAGGCCAGTTTAGTTCTACAGACATTTATTGCATGCTTAATTTCCTTGTCTTCCCCCTGCACGCCCCAGCGTCGCTCTGCGGGGTTGGGTGGGACCGTCCAGCGGGCAGGGCTGTTTGCAGGGTCGGACCCTCGCTCCGGCCCCGTCTCCGCCTCACCGTAAGGCACGCGGTGCACCTGCAGTAGGGCGGCCCGCCTGGCGCCGCGCCGCTGGCGTCACTTCGGTGCCGTGGGGCTGCTCAGGGCTGCTCCAGCCCCCCCCCGGAGCGCTTCTGGAGTGGGAGGCGAAGACCTGGCTTGTTGGCCGTCGGAAACACAGGGAGCCTTGGGACCCCGCTGCGGTTCTTCCACAGGGCTGCCTGTGGTCACCCGTGTCTCGGGTGCGTGGCGTCCCCGCCATCCTTGCGAGAGCCGAGTGTGGGATCCTTGTTGGTGAACTGGGCCGGGCTCTGCCCGTTCCCAGCCTCTCCTGACCACGGAAACAAGAGACTGCTCCCAAACTGTGGCGTCGAGTGGGTTGGGGCTTTCCACCGCCAGAGAGCTCTGGAGCTCCACCTAAGGCGCCTCTTTGTGTCAGCAGAAACCACATGAACAGCGGGACGGGCTGGGTCTTGAAAGTGGGCCTCAGCGTTCCTCTGAAGCCATGGGGATGTCCAGAGAAACGGGCGTGAAAGGCTGTGGCGGGGGGGGGGGGGATCCGCAGCCTCAGAGCTCTCCTGTGCCCCCTGCGCAGGCTGCGGTGGGGGGACGCTTGCGCCCTCGCCAGCGCAGGCAGCGGTACCAGAGAGGCAGGACAAGGCTGCCACCGTTGCCCCGGGGTCGTCATCGCCTGTATCGCCGCCAGCGCGGCGGGCGAGCGCGGGTGTGCCGACCCTTCCTGAGAGCCCGGCTCAGGCGTGCCCAGCCAGGGGGCTCGGCACGGGTCAGTGGGAACAGCCCTGCCTGGCACAGCTTCCGATGTAAAGCTCTGAGCCCTGCTACTCCAGAACCGAAAAACCCCCTAAATGCACCTCGAAATCTCCCTTGGCGTGTTCAGCGATGGGGACGTGCGGGGACGTGCGTTTCAAACCCGGCACAGCCAGGCTACGGCACGTACCGAACCAGGCTGCGGCTCACATCCAGCCTGACGTGAGAGGGAGATGCCCAAGGGAAACAGGAGCACCACAGGCGATCGGCAGGCGAGGACCAAAAGCTGCCGGGAGCCCCTCAGCACCTTGCAGCTCTCACGCCGTCGTCAACACGTCTACAGCTTACACGGGCTTACACACACGCTGAAAGAAATAGCCCAGCTCTTAAAAGGGTTTTACTAATCTCCTTCTGTCTCTCGTTACATCTCTGGGCTCATAACAAGGCTGCTTCCTGCTTTACTCCTTTTATTAGTTCGCCCTTTCTTTCCTTCACTTACTCCTTCTGTTCTTTTATTTTTTTCCCTTTGATGGACTTGATTTCTTTTGTCAGGTTTTTACAATCACTGAGGTTCCAGGAGAATATTTTTTTATATGCTATCATACTCATTTAAATGTGGGTCTTTTTCCTGTTTTGTTGTTGGGGATTTTTCTAAATATCTTTTTGGCTCCCCTGGGAGAAGGCTTGAATCCTGGTATTTAAATATTTGCCAACTTGATCCTGCACTGTTATCACAACTATTTCTGTTATATTTACTACAAACCTGCTCCTGCCAGATAAGAACAACTCTACAGCATTTTTTATCTTAGTTCCTAAAGATCCAAGGAAATCTTTTAACATCATCTTTTTTTTTTTTTTCTGTTTTGTCCAAAGCAATTTTTGGACAAAGGACCTGATGTGAAGTTTTCTGAGGATCCTGTTAAATCACGTGAAACAATGGAACGCTTTTATTTTGCAGAAGTAAGCGTTGAACAAATCTGTTGTCTTCGTGTCCCGTCCAGGTTTTGTTGCACTATTATTACATGTATGAATATATGACATACATTCACGCTCTTGTTCTAGACCTTTCTGCTCACGCGCCAGTGCACGGTGCCTTTCATCACGGACATCCCTCGCATTTTCTTCCCCTGCGGTGCCCTCCATGCGTACATCACCGCACAGGGGTTTAGTTCCAAGTGTGGATTCCACTTTGTTCTGTACAGTGTTAGACATCAACATGAGCACAGGGCTTCCTTGACACGTGTCCTTGACCACGCAACCCCGGAGCCCCCCACGCCGCTTGTGGGCACGCGGCCCCCTCGAGGGTTCGGTGGGCGGACGAGGTGCCCAGGGGCCCCGTTGGGCAGAACGGGGTGGCTCTGCGGGGCCAGGGCCGGGAGGCAGAGCACAGGCGCGATAGTTCTTCACGAGGCCACGGCGTGGAACCCAGAGCGAAGTCGCGGTGTCCCCCCGCAGGAGCTCTCGTCGCACCCCGGGCCATAAGCACGTAGCTCGTGGCGCCGGTCAGGCAAGCGTCGCGCCAGGCTTTGGTAGACGCGGGAGGCTGGATGTGGTTTGCTTGGGTTTTACGCCAGGGAGAGCCGACAGTGGAAGGCAAACGCTGTGTTCTTGCAGGGAGTTCCTGAAGGTATTGTCACATCACGCAGGTCTCTGTGACAAAACAGAGCAAAACAATACTTTGATCAGCTGCTTATGTTTGGCAGCGTTTTCCTTGCAGAGCGCCCGTGTCTCTTGAAAGCTGAGATCAAAGTAGCTGTAAGCTCCCAGGTAGGAAGAAAAATTGCAGAAAATTACAGAGATTCTTTTTATTTTATTCGAGGTAATGGACAGACAGGGAGAAGGAACGAGGGGAAAATGGAGGTGGCTCTGAAAGATAAACGGTTATAAAATCTTGATATTTGAAAGAACAGGCCTGTCTGGTTTGGGTGTTTTCCTTGTACTTCATGTATTTGCAGTCGTTACAGCAATGTTTTACACTGGAAAATATAACGATGTTAACATTCTCGTAAGGAGAGATTGCCTCAAATAAAACTTCAGAGGCAGGCGAATGAAAGAAGAAAATAAGGTTAAAATATGGAGCTTAATATCGCCAGAGGGCATCTGGTGTGTCAGTCAGATGGATGAGGTAAGCTGATTTATGCCCTACAAACTTTAGCCAAGGTGTTTCTGATGCCGGGGAGGGTTTAATAGACTGCTGGCCTCCCACAGGTCGTTGCTAACTGCAAGGGAGATTTTGCTGAGGTGGAACCGCGGTCATGTGTGTCTCCATGGCTTGTGAACACTGCACAGCTCCCAAGCCGTTTATTTTTTGCCTTTTCCCTTTCTATTGATTTTTTGGTTGTATTCCCTTTGCCAGTTACAGTCGGCAAATGGCCGAGTAATAAATTTGTATTTCCAAGCTGTAGAGAGGATTTCATTTAGCAAATAATTTCACCATTTGGAGCAGTTTAAAATGAGTTTTCCAGTTGCCTTTGCAGTTATTTTCTCCCCTTTCATGCCATTTTGCCGCATTGTCATGCCTCTTGTCTTTGATTCTCGGAAAGCGATGCTTTAGTGGTGACAGTGGGATATTGCCTCATTACAGGCTTCCTTGCCAGATGAGTTCCCTTAGTGCCAATTACTATTCAGCAGCGGATGCTGCAATAGGTCAACCTGTACTTTTTTGCTAGTCGTTCTTTTTTTTTTTTTTCCACATGCATCGCTTCTGTCTAGAGCACTTAGAGGCAAATTGTGCTCCCGCCTTGGGAGCACAATTCGCTCCGCGACAATTGCTCTGCGACTCCGGGGGACCGTGCGGCGGGACGTAGGTATTCTCTGGGGGTGGGAAGCTCCACAGGGACCACTGACCGGGTGGCAGGGAGGCGTAGGGCCAAGGCCATAGGAGATCATCAAAGGCTCAAGTTTCTAACTTCTTGGCTGCCTTTTCTCCCGAGGGACAAACTGCTCCTCCACCTTTTCCATTTTTCTTACCCTCTGCATTGAGCGCAGGCGTAGCGCAGAGGTTTTGCCTCTCAGACCTAACGCTTTGACCAGTTGAGGCAAACCTAAGCGTGGTGGTAACAACCTCTCCCAACCACAGGGACCGGTCCGAAGGCAAGTGCACCGAAATGCTGGGGGAGCCGAGTACTGCGGTGATGCCGACCGTGTCGCTGCTCCCGCCTGCTGTTGCGCCTCTCAAGCCGTCCTTGCCCCCGGGGCCGGTCGTGGCGTCGGATTTGGGCACCGGAGCTCGCGAATCCAGCGTGAACCACGTGAAAATCGGAGGGCGAGCGAGGGCTGCAGCTCCCTGGCAGCTGAAGGGAGCTGTGTGCCGTGGCTCGGCGACTGGGGGATCGTTTCCAACTGCAACCTGAAACTGTGTCACTCGTTTAATTGAACAGTGAGATGCAGGTGGCAGGGCTTGGAGTTAAATGTTGGCGTGTTCTGGGTGTTCTCCGAGGCACCCCGCTGAATTATCTTTTTTGGCTGCTGGTGTTTTAACCCAGTGTGGCCCAGAGAGACTGCGAGGTCCCTTTCACAAGTAAACCCCTCAGCTGTGCAGTGTACAGCCAAACGCAGGAGACCTCTGATGGACAGTCAAACTCTACGTACGAGTAGCTGTAATTTTGCAATGAATCTGTTCAGGATATGTTGTTTGCGTGGCTAATTACAAATTTGGAACAAAATTCTCTGTTAGCATAATTCCTGTGATGTCAACAGAGCTTTTCATGCTGGGAATTTAAGCTCGTTGGAAGGTTGGTTTAGTGAAGATGCTAACGGCGTTTTTTGAAATACAAGTAATTCTGAAACGTAACTAAAATGACGGTTCAAAAGCAGACGTGGGCAAAGGCATAACTGACGTACACCATTGCCACCGTACCAATATGACCCTGCTGGTGTAACTGAGAACAGAGCTTCGCACCGTAGCGACAGCAGCATCCCAACGTCCTTACCCTCTGACGCTCACGGTGGAGCTGGACGTTACCAAGAGGTCATTAAACTGATGGAGACGTCGCATTGGTGCCTCCTGCAAAGGCAGTATTTTTCAAATGAAGGGCCATACTGGAGATATTAGTTTGGAAGTGCAGGTTTAGCATCTCCGCGTACGTGGAAAGAAGCAGCTTCCTCTGGCGGGGGCGAGGCTGTCCTGACCGGAGACGGTTCCTGCCCGCCCCCAGGGCAGCCTTGGCCCCTGCTCAGTGGCGTTTGTGCTCTGGCTCGTCGGATTCCTCTGTAAGGAATAAAACTGCCTGGAAAAAACTGGTGTTTGGTCGGTTGCTTTCAGTCTTGCTGCCTCAGAGAACCTCTTTGGTTATTTACCTCCTTGCTTCACAGAAGCTCTGAAGCAGAGACAGGATTTATCATTGACACCAAGGCGAAATGGGAAGAAATGGAGGGAGAGATTATGTGAGCCCTTTTAACACAAAGAGCTGTAGTGTAAGTTAAGAAGATTATTTTATCTTTGGCTCCTCTGACAGGTCCCCTGTTGCATAAGTGTTCTGCTTTTTCGAGTTAGGTATTGCCTAAACGTCAGTCACAGCCATTTCCTGAAATAGGAACACTGAGTTTATTTAATTTGGGGGGTTTAAGTATTTTCCATTTCAGAATAATAAATATATAAGATATAGGATCTCTTCTGTGTAAATGCTACGTTTTGGGAATGTACAGGAGTATGTTTAGATATGCGAAAAAATTCTTAGTCATGATTTTAAGAGTAAAGCTTTGATTTTTGTCCTGACATTGCCACGGCAAGCTTTCATGTCAAAAGAAACCCACCGAAGGTGTTGATTCATTGGGAAAGGGGTGAAATGTCATAACTCTTAACTGCATCTTTTCATTTTCCAAGCTCCTCCTAGAGAACTGACAGAAGAAGAAAAACAACAAGTTCTCCATTCAGAAGAATTCCTGATATTTTTTGACCGGACAATACGTGTAATCGAGCGAGCGTTGGCTGAAGATTCAGACATCTTCTTCGACTACAGTGGCAGAGATGTAGAAGAGAAAGATGGGTCAGTTTGGGGTTTGTTTGCTTTTGTAAAATAACCTTTATAAAAAGAATTCCAATGCCAGGAAGCCTTAATTTTAAAACTAAACTAAGCATTTTTGTAGTTAAGGAACGTTTCAAACCTCTCTACGAAGGCCTGGGTCGCTTTGTTAGCCCAAATTATTTTGTAAAACAGCTCCTCATGCTTTACTGCTCTGGGGTTTTTTCTTTGATGTATTATGCAGGTGGTGTGATTTTTTGTTTTCATTTTTGGGGATGAAATTTCAAATTCTGAAGAAAAACATTCCTCATTGAGGTAGATAGATGTGCGTACACATGCACGTACACAGGCATATGTTATGCATTCACCAACGGACAGGGCAGCAGAAGCAGCAAAGCTTGTTAATACCAGAGGAGCTATTCAGATTTCACCAGCTTCGTGTCTGTTGAAGCCCCGTGGCAAACCAGTAGCTGTGTCGCGCTGGAGGCTGGGCTAGAGCATCACCCCTCTGATGGGCTGAAGGCATCTGTGGGGCAGCGCTGGGCCAGCACTGAGCTTCAGCCCATCCTAACGGTGCCAGTCTCCATCGCTGGGAGGAGGTGCTGTAACTTGAAGGTTTCAGGAATCGAAAATAAGAGAGATTGGCTATAGCCTGAAGATTCGGAAAAGGCGGAGCTGGATTCCAGGGCCAGGTTGGGTCCTGAGAGACGAAGGTGGCAGAGGTGGCCCAGGGTGGCCCAGAAGAGGCAGGAAACCACTGGGAAATTAAGAAATGTGGGTTTGTGAAACAGATGTGAAATTTGTTCCGTGGTGCAGCTTTGTTATCAGGAGGACAGGCAGTGAGAGCAATTAGCGATTAAATCAAGGTGGCAGCGTTCCCCAGGCTGGGCAGAGAACTGAGAAGCAATCAGAAACTTTTACGTTGCTTTTCGCAGCATTTGATATTTCAAGAAGTGTCACTTTGTTTGAATTCACACAGAGATGTTCAAGCAGGAGCCAACCTTTCCTTTAACCGTCAGTTTTATGATGAGCACTGGTCGAAGCATCGCGTCGTCACCTGTATGGATTGGTCTCTGCAGGTAAGATGCGAAGCTGGGAGATGTGTTTCCGCATCCCTTCCAACTTCTCCCTCAAAAAGTACGGCCAGCCTCAGTTTGCCCTTCGTTCTGCAGAGTCTGATGTTGTTTTTTACCTAACAGCAGGGCCCTGAATGAGCAAATGCATGTTTCTCCCTGAAGAAGAGTAGTGGACAATAATGAAGCTGTCATCTTTTTGTGTGTGTTACTTGGTCTTCAAAACCAGGTTGTCGTTATCAAAACTACAGGTTAACAAACCTGCTAAGATGGAGCCTTTACTCTTCCTCCCTCCCTCTACTCCTTCAGCCCATGGAAATATTTTTAGGACAAAAGGTTTAAAATTAAACCAATTAAAAATCATTTACTAGATATGTAGCAATTGATTTAATGAATTGTTATGCATAATAATAGATAAACAGGGGAACAAAATTTATTTTTCTGATATACTAAAACTCAACATGTGAAAGTAGCTGAGCGACTTGGGAAGGCTGAAAAGAGGTCTTCCAAAAAGCGCTGGGTCCTCTCCTCAAGCGAGGACGGAAGGCCCGGGGCCATGCTAAAGCAGCGTGCCTGCAGCTAGCTAGAGCTGCCTAAGCTTCCCCAAACCTATACAGCCGCATCAGTGAGGCACAGAAAGCAGGGTAATTCCTTACTCCTCTGGGGAGCCGGGATTAGCGCCCACGCGCCATCACGGGTCCCGTCGAACTCCTTCGGTCCCCGCTTCGCTCCAACCCCCCTCCTCCTCCTCTCGGCTTCACCCCGGTTCGCCTGCTCCGAGGTTCCAGCCTGGAGCGGAGCAGCTGGTTTCCCTGGGGAGGAGACCGGGGAGAGACGCTGCTCCCCGGATATAACGGAGCTGCTGCAGGAGGACCGAGACTTGAAAGATCGCGAAGGCAAGGCTGCCCGGGTGGCCCCAAGCCAGCCCGAGGCGTGCCCGGCTGTGTCCGGAGCAATGGTGCAGCCCGGCCCGGGCTGCAAAGGTGCTGCAGGAGTCGCTCAGCCCGGTGCCAAGAACAAGCTTTGCTCAGCCCAGCTGCTCTTTCTGCGCCGTCTTAGACGGGGATGGGGGTGCAGCGCGGGTCTGAGGCCAAGCACCGAAATCGTGGGTGACTCTCACGGCCGTCCTTCCCTCCTCCCCCTCGGCACGGC